CTGAACCACACTTACTGTGAATCGTCCAAGACGCTTCTTATAACTTTCTCCAGTTCGTCTTCAGATATGGTTCTCAATATAACCTTCGACCCAACTCCAGCACGAACAACGAGGTTTGTGTTGCTAAACTGATCGCCAAACAATGGACAGGCAACAAGAGGGACGCCATGATAAAGAGCTTCATACATTCCATTGTGTCCCATGTGGGATATGAACAGCCTTGTCTTGTGGTGACCTAATACGTCATTTTGTGGAAGCCATTTCACGGCCTTGATGTTTGAAGAGACGTCCAATGGAAGAGCCTCTCCTAGAAGGACATGCAGCAGAACCAAATTCTTTTAAGAATTAACATAAATTAAAGTCTAAAAACTTTTGCATAAAGTTTCTAACTATTAGTTGTACAGACTGTTACTGAAACATATTTTAGCAGTGAATTGACCTCTTTCCATATGACCACCACCATATTTAACCTCTTAGAATCCGTCGTCGTCTAGTTTTCCCAAAAAAGTGATACGCAATACCTAGTACTCACTTTTAACCTTCCATAAGATCTTCTGCTTGAGTCTACCAAACACAACCGTCATCTTCTTCAGGATAGATGCATCTAATTTGGACACCATTGAACCAAACGTCACCAAGATAACACCATGGTCTCCTGAGCTTTGCATAAACTGTTCCAGGTCTGCAGGGAGGGGTTGGGCTGGTTCGGGAAGTACCGCGCCAATCATTTTGACAGCTGAAATAATGAAATGAAGAGAGAATAACGTGTTTGCCCAGAGAAAAATCCTCGTTGTACCGTGGAGGGAATAGCATTCATCAATCAAATTCAGTTGACATGATGAAACTTGCCATGAGAGGATATACTAACTGATATCTTGGAGAAAAACCTTCTTGGCAAGTGGTAAACGCAAAAAGGGCACCTAACAACTCAGCTAATATGAGGATATTTAATGAGGAAAACCAGAGGACAATATAATAAATAAATTCAGTCCAATTTGTTGCAGAATAATGAGTCTTAATCGGGCCAAAGACAGTCGATATCCCATTGATACTCCATGCAATACTCCATGCAGTAGTGCACCCTACACATCAGTATCTATCAGCCGCATGGGAATAGCAGTCTCTAGCTAACTTCGAATTTTTGAGTTCTTTCTATGTTTTCGGAAATCGGATTTACATATAAACAAGAAAATGTCGCCCTCCAAGACCTTACCGGTGTACAGAAGCGAGAAACGACACCTAAGCATTGCACTCCACCCTTGCTTCCTAGAACAAAGCATACTCACCTGGTGGAAGAGGTCTGGGAATATCCAAAGCAAAGTCTGCTTGTACCAACAGCATCTCCCCATTCTGTAATGCTTCACTAAATGACCGCTCGGGGCTAATCTTGAATTCCTTTTTCAAGTCTCCAAAAGGTTTATAGAGAAAGAATTCCCTGAGGAACTCAGATACAATGTACATAGCCATATTGTGTACACGTTCGAAAAAGGACATTTCATCCGTGCTGTCTGCGATACGAACGAATGTTGTAATAAATAATGTCATACCTTAAACTCCTTTTCAACCTCTACTTAACGACCACTTGAACTTTTCCCAAGGTTGGTCACTTCATAGAGGCTTGTATATATTGAGGCAGTATTACAGTCAAACAAGCTCACGCGTTGACCCCTAGATTCGATTAATGAAATCATTAGTCAATTATTCCTTTTATACGTACGAACCGGAATAATGCAATATTGCAATATTCAAATGAAAATTCAGTTCATTATTCGACTCGTGATGAAGAAGGTAAATCATCTAAATTACAGATACCTTCGAGCAGAAGTCGCTCTCTTATTTCATAAGCATACACACTAGGTTTTGTAATTTTCATGCCTCAATTACTTGGAGGATATCATCAGTAATTTTGTAGGGAACGCTCCCGCCTTGAGCGAAATGGAGACACAGTTCCAGCATGTCGTCGATAATGTTGAAGTATTTTCTGGACTCCTCAACTAGAAATTTTCAGTTGTCACGAAATTGCTTTATTGGACAATCCGCTATTGCTGAGATGAACAATTTCCTGTCGAATAATATCAGGTAAAGGCTTTCCCGGCACATAAACACGGCCAAGACTATTTCTGGCCACCATGTTTTCTTGGTCTTCCGGCTGTGTTAGCACTGATTAACCTATCAAAATGTCGTATATTGAATTTAAAGTTGAATGGAATTTTCATATCTTCGCTTTCGATGTTGTAAATTTCAACTGAATAATGATATTAAAATTCGAAAATTCAAATCATTAATCGACTCTAGGGGTCAACACGTGAGCTTGTTTGACTGTAACTTAATATTTACCTGTTCCCATCTGTGGTGTGTACGAAACAGGGCAAGGAATTTGCAGTGACTGCATGAAGAAGGGAATAATACCGGAAGGTGAAACATCAACGCGTGGAATACTCAATATTTCTTGTAGGATTGGATTGCACATGAACACCACGTCAGAAACCAAAAGATCTGCTCGAAAGTCCTTGACTTCTTGAAGAATTTTGGTGTTGTTTAGGAAATCTCTACAGACCATTTGCTGAAACTTCAAAAGCACTGCGAAGGGGAAAACAGCAAACACACGGCTTACAATTGGATCTTGGGTGATTTTTTCAACTTTGTCCTCGACTTCGTTCAAACTTTGAGGGGCTTCGTAGATCAGATGACTGATGTTGGATGTCCCTATGAAGTGCTTCAAGTTGGAAGCAGTTAACAATTTGACCTGGAATTCGAAATCAGATGTCAAAGAATGAAATTAAAATAGTAAGCAGGATGTTTAAGTTCCTATTGTTTCTGCTGATGTTTTTACTTTTACTGTTGGTGTTTCTGCTGTTGTTGTTGTAGTAGATGTTAGTGTTTCGTTGGTGCTGCTGTTTTTGTTGTTCCGGTTGCTGTTGCTCTGATGTTGCTGTTATTATTGTCCACAGGAAACCCATCCCTCTCGAACACAACAAAAACCCGAGCGATTAGTCTGCCGAGGAGGTTAATGTTGCGATTGCTTTTCTTGTTGTTTCTTCTGTTGTTGCTGTCATTGTTTTTGTTGCAGCTGTTATGGTTGCTGCTGTTGTTAATGTTGCAGCTACTGTTGTTATTGTTGCTGTTGCTGCTGTTAATTGTGGTTGTTGTTGTTGTTGTTGTTGCTACTGTTGTTGCTACTGTTGTTGCTGTAGCAGCTGTTGTTATTGCTGCTGTTGTTGATGTTGTTGCTGCTGCGGTTGTTTATTGTTGTGGTTGCTGGTTTTTTTAAATTTTTGTTTTAATATAACGCAAATATCTCCAGCTTTATGTACTCCGCATCAAGACGACATTAAAAAACGTTTACCTTAAAAGGTGAAAAAAAAAAAATTAGCTAAGAAAGTTAACATGCGTAAATTTTAATTCCAAAATCCCAAGTCCATTCCAAGTCCATTCCTAAAAACCAAATTTATTCATGAAAAAAGAAATCTATCAGTTTGAAAGTTTGAAATTGCATTAGCCTGCTACGCAAACTAAGATTTTAAAATTACTTTTATATTAAAAATATAATAGATATATTAATAGATAAATGAGTCCTAGAAAAGATTATTGAAAGGATAAAACATCCTCCTTGATTAAAAAATTTGCAATCAAAATCGATAATACAATTTGCATCTCAAAGTACTCGTACATTTACCATTAATCGTTCCTGAATATTGTGAATGTATGGCCTAATGATAATGCATATAGCTAATTAAACTTCAAAATCGCAGCAAAATCGCTCCAAAARCTATAGCTTGAAAATTAATCAATGTTTTTAAATAGAATACACGCCAATCGTTTGACTTTAGAAGACCGAATTTTATGGATTCTCCAATTCTTCGAATTTTATCGATTCTTCAAGCACCTGAAAATGCTCGTAGAGAGAGAAAAGAAAGACCAAAATAAAGGATCCGGAACACTTAAATCTGATATTTTTTATTGACTCCTGTTTTATAGAAAGTTTGCAAACTAATTTTGGTTGAATAATTTCAAGTGAAAGACAATTAACGCCCTACCTCATGGCCTCTGTTTGATAGCTCCGTTGCAATCTTCTTGAAAATAAAATAATCGCTGTTTCCAAACAAAGGCATCAGTAGAATTCTAGAGGTGCGAACAACTGTGCAGCTAGCAATGATGATGATTAAAAAATACATGGATTGAGCCATCTTCGCCATTTTGGAAGTCGTTTTTTCAAAAACCCATTGCGTGACAGAGTAACGTAATGTAAATACTCAGACACAGGGATCCCATAAAATATATTTTCTTTGATTTCCGTTTATATACCGTTGGTCATGCGAGACAAATACCTGGACTAACGCCAATACTCCCATTTCGAGCTTGCCTTTGCTCAGTATAAGGCCCCGTCCACAAGTATCCGGAAATTTTTTCGCGTCCACACGCAGCGTATTCGAATCGTTTTCACCGTCCACACGCATCCGTTTTCGTAAAATTTGCGGATACGGACACAAAAATTTCAGGGCACGTGTGACGCAACCCGTATCCGTAAAAGACAATTGCGGATACAAAAATTTGCGGATACGTGTGGACGGGGCCTAAGCCTAGGGGGGGGGGGGGGGGGGGGGGGGGGGGGGGGGGGGATAGAAGGCTACACATAACGACCATTTTTGGCAGTGTGTCTTTATTAGTTGGAGTACATTGAGTTAATGAGTGAAATGTTAATCACGAGTCATAACATTAATCCTACTAGTAGACGAATGGTTTACGGAAGGACATAATCACCATATTGGATTATAAAACACACGGCCGCCATGTTGGATGACATAATGCAGTGGCCATATCACAACAAGACAAGTCAACATAATTGGAAAAAGTGTTTTCTACAGGTACAACCCAAACAACATGTTTGTCGTAATAACATTTAAAAAAAAACAGCAATAAGCTTTTAAAAATCAAATCAGTACTATCGATGATATAGATCAAATGCAAAACTTGCGCCGATGTGAGGCTTAAGTTGTGAACAAA